GCTCATATATTAAGAATTAAGACTTTATATATATGGATTAAGATAACAATAAAATTGTTGTAAATTGTTCCCAGCCAACAGAAGAAAAAGCAAGTAATAAAGCTGCTTCTAAATGCAAAGACATTAAACACTACTGGAAAATCTCTCAGACTGTCATTAGAGAGCGGTCTGAGGGACCTTCAAGGTTTGTGATTCTATTTTTCAGAGAACTGGTTTGTCAGTAAGTAGAGTTGATCACTAATCTGGATCACATTTGCAGCATGAGTTACCATGGTCATGTACCCTGGTAATAAGTAAACCACCTTCCACCAAGGTTCACCCTGAAGTTACCTGAATAAGACAAAATTCTGTAGCACAGGCCTCAGCTCTTTCTTACTAACAATGCTGCAATCATGGCTGGGACCAATGTTGTTTTTTTCTTTTCACAAATGTTCAGGAAATAATTACTAACTGTTAGTTAGTCTCTGCTTAACAACAGAGTTTTCCCTTTCCCCAAACCCCCCTGGACACCAAGCCCAATTCTTATTGTTAGTAATAAAGCATTCAATCTATCTGATTCATTCTCTGCAATCTGTTTGCTGCTTTTGGGTTCTCTCAATAACCGTTACCCTTAAGTCATCTTATATTTGACTCAATTCTCTCAATTTGTTGCCCAAACAATGACACTTGTGAATGGAATCTGACAATTTCACTACTCAAAGAAACATTAACAAATACTGTCATTTAAGATATTATACATCTATACAACAACTGAAAGCTATTGCATGGCATGTATAAATTGTGTAGACAGTAAAATGGTCCACATCAGTTTTCCATATTTCCATATTTGGCCATCACTGAATGTTTTAACTCAGGGTGAGCCAACACCTCCTCAACTCACCCACAGGCCAACCTTATGTGATTTAGATGCAAGCAGGGGCGACTTTAGCCCATTTTTGGGGGTGCTTCAGCCCATTAACCTTATAACTCCTGTAAAATCAAATGATCCGTCAATCAAGGATAATGTTGGATCAATGTTTCAATATTTATCTTTTATTAGATGTTCGTGTGGTTTGGTTATTTGCCTTTTGGTTGAAAGTACACTGAGAGAGGACTTTTTGTTAGTGATCTTAATAGTATTTTTTTCATATTAATATAATTTTTCATCTAATTGAATCTATTTGTGTATGCTTGTCAGTCCAAAGAGGGAGAGAGGAAAGAGGGGAACGTGAGGAGAAAGTACAAGGTCAGGAAGAACCAGGTAAGAAAACAGACAGGGAATAGTGACAGGCAAAACAGAAACTGTTGAACTGACAAAGAGAAAAAAATGATTTTACTCACACAATCTGGAAATTGTGTTCT